TCATGTCAGGATGCAAAACGCGCTATGCTTCCACAGACCTTAAACAAAGACATGCATGCAGTCAGCTGGCGCAGAAAAGGGCGTCCAGAAAAGACTGCTGTTCTCTTACTCATCGCACTGTATGGTGCACAGAAGCGTAATGACCTAGCTTGGCGGCGAAGCAACATTGCATATGGGAAGGCAGTCCGTGTGTCCAAGCAGCCTGCAATTTGTGGATATGGAGCCTTCAGAAGTCTCCTCTGCTTCAGGAAAGCTGTTCTTAGGACTGGAAGTGTGACGGGCAGCGCAGCAATCTGGAAGAGAATCTCCCCCTATGCCAGCTTACGAGTTCCCTGCATGGCAAGGAGCGACAGCGCTTCCTCGGAAAGTTGCCACTTAAGCCCGCCGGAAACAGATTCAACAGTAGTGCCTAGCACCGACTATGGCGCTCGCGGAGCTTTCAGAGCCTCGCACCCAACGCACGTGACGTGGAAAGAGTGAACAAGAAAACGAGCCCTGGACGGGAGAGTAACTCTCCCCCGCCGCTTCGATTGAGGCGACTGCCTCAAGCTATGCGACAGCATCTCTGTTTGAGTCCATCACGCCAAACTCTCGACTGCACACGGGCCACACATGAGACGCAACCTGTGCGCTTTAAAGGCAAACTACTTGTCACAGCTTCGCAGGTGTACTATTCGTGCACTCTCTCGGTGTTTTCTGTTCGTTGCCATGTAGGTGCATGAGGCAACGCCCTCCGGGCCAGAACTTCTGAGAGCCAGGAAGCAAAGCCCGAGCCCTCATCCCGCATTTGCAGCACAAACACAGGAAGCACATGGGACGGCGAAGGCCCTCATCTGCGCATGCAGCGATGCATGTAGAAGCGATGCATGCGGAAAGACACTGGCGCTGCAAGAGCCGAGGAGATTCCCCTCCGAGAACGAAGCAAAGAGCGGAAGGTAAAGGTGTGCAGGCGCTGCCGGGCCCGGGGCATTGCCGGCTCTAGGCCACCTGGCCCGGGCCATCGGGCCAAGTGTGCCACGTGTGCCAGGGCCAGCTTGCGCACGGTGCGCCAGCTCTTGCGGTGCAGGGGGCAAGGGGCTCCGCAACATACGCGGAGCCTGGGCGGCGTCGCAGCCCGTGCCTGCATGCGCCTGCCGCACCGCCGCGTGTGCAAGGCGGGGGGATGGGCACATTTCACAGTCCGGGCCCCACGAGCTTCGCCGGAAGAGTGCTGCTGCAATGCTGGGAGAGCAGTACCTAACTCAAAGCATATGCGGAGCGATTTCATGGTAACCTCGAACGAAACAAACTTCCTCTGATTAATGGCACGCGGCATGGACCACGATTGTGGCTTAAAGACGTTTTAAAGACGTTTGCTTCCTATGCGACGACAATTCGTGAATTTTGGCAACCGCTTGGCCGGCCCGACTTGAAATACGAAGCCCAATTCTAAATTCTATTTAAAGCGGACCCTATGCCCTGAAGCTTGTAAGCCCTTATGTAGGCTGGGGGCCAAAGATTATTCGGAACCTTGCAGGGGAGGGCGGGGGTGTGTTTAACGAAGCTGGCCATGCCATGACTAGACCTGTGCGTCTCATCGAAGGGGACCATGGTGGACTCGGGGCCCAAGCACTCCGGAGCTGGTCGAGGGACTGTGGTGGAGCACGCGTCCAGGATTGGCACGCCGTCGTTGGTTTTCCCCTTTGCTCAATGCGGCTGCTCCATTTCTGGCTGCACCGCCCTGAGAGGTGCGCCGAGGATCGCTTCAAGGCTGCGCTGATGACAGGCTTTTGGCAGGCTTTTGCCACATACGCCGGCTTGCGAAGCTGGGGATTTAGGAGGGTGGAGTCTCGGTGCGGTCTTCCGCCTCCTCGTGGCAATGTCCAGAGACACAGCATGACAGAGCCATGAGGCCTCCAACCCTCTGACCAGGATTCTGACTTCTTTCGCCTTCACGAAAACGCCTTCGCGCCAGCACCTGCGCCAGCACCTGCGCCAGCACCTGCGCCGGCACCTGCGCCGGCACCTGCACCTCGGCAGTGGTGAGCCTCTTGAGCAACAGCTTGGTCCATGGTTCGGTTGGACAGTCGCCAGGCCGGGAGGTCAAATGGAGATGTCCACCTGAGGCCCCAAAGACCACACGACAGACTGGGCATCACTGGCGTTCATCAAAGTACAGGCACAAACTCAGAACCAAATGTTGTGGCAAACGTGTGGGACCTTCTGCCTTTGGCTCTCAAGGCTCTGAGGGATTCTTTGGCATGTAGCATGCTCTGGCCAAGAACCAGGAAATCTGTCCGGAAAGCTGGAGTCTCCGAGGCCGCACAAAGATTCCATTGAACTCGCAGGCTGGGCCGGCACCTGGGCCGGCACCTGGGCCGGCACCTGGGCCGGCTGGGCAGGAAAGCCACGGAAGTCCGATCACTGGCAGGATGAGGTGCCGAACCTTCCTTCGGTGGCTGTCGGCATTCGGCCATTATTGTTAGACACGAAGACCCGAAGTTCCATGGGGCCAAATGCTTCAAGTGCAAAGCATGCTTAGCACGCCGCGTGCGGCAGATGCACACACGCCGCCAAGGCCCTCAAGGCCCTCAAGGGAGGATGCCCCTTTCGCCTTCACACCGGAGTCGCACGGCTGAATGCCTCCCTCAAGATCACGGCCCGAGTGCCAGCGGCATGCCTTTGGGCACAGCACCAAACAGGCGCCATCGTCGCCTGCACGCTTCTTGGCTTCTCGATGTGGCAGTGGCTGGTCAGCCAAGCCGGCTGCGCCCGGAGGCTGGTAACATCTACGTGTCTCTGCAAACTTCCTCTGATTAATGGCACGCGGCATGGACCACGATTGTGGTCAATTCTAAATTCTACTTAAAGCGGACCCTAGGCCCTGAAGCTTGTAAGCCCTTATGTAGGCTGGGGGCCAAAGATCGGACCATGGTGGACTCGGGGCCCAAGCACTCCGGAGCTGGTCGAGGGACTGTGGTGGAGCACGCGTCCAGGATTGGCACGCCGTCGTTGGTTTTCCCCTTTGCTCAATGCGGCTGCTCCATTTCTGGCTGCACCGCCCTGAGAGGTGCGCCGAGGATCGCTTCAAGGCTGCGCTGATGACAGGCTTTTGGCAGGCTTTTGCCACATACGCCGGCTTGCGAAGCTGGGGATTTAGGAGGGTGGAGTCTCGGTGCGGTCTTCCGCCTCCTCGTGGCAATGTCCAGAGACACAGCATGACAGAGCCATGAGGCCTCCAACCCTCTGACCAGGATTCTGACTTCTTTCGCCTTCACGAAAACGCCTTCGCGCCAGCACCTGCGCCAGCACCTGCGCCAGCACCTGCGCCGGCACCTGCGCCGGCACCTGCACCTCGGCAGTGGTGAGCCTCTTGAGCAACAGCTTGGTCCATGGTTCGGTTGGACAGTCGCCAGGCCGGGAGGTCAAATGGAGATGTCCACCTGAGGCCCCAAAGACCACACGACAGACTGGGCATCACTGGCGTTCATCAAAGTACAGGCACAAACTCAGAACCAAATGTTGTGGCAAACGTGTGGGACCTTCTGCCTTTGGCTCTCAAGGCTCTGAGGGATTCTTTGGCATGTAGCATGCTCTGGCCAAGAACCAGGAAATCTGTCCGGAAAGCTGGAGTCTCCGAGGCCGCACAAAGATTCCATTGAACTCGCAGGCTGGGCCGGCACCTGGGCCGGCACCTGGGCCGGCACCTGGGCCGGCTGGGCAGGAAAGCCACGGAAGTCCGATCACTGGCAGGATGAGGTGCCGAACCTTCCTTCGGTGGCTGTCGGCATTCGGCCATTATTGTTAGACACGAAGACCCGAAGTTCCATGGGGCCAAATGCTTCAAGTGCAAAGCATGCTTAGCACGCCGCGTGCGGCAGATGCACACACGCCGCCAAGGCCCTCAAGGCCCTCAAGGGAGGATGCCCCTTTCGCCTTCACACCGGAGTCGCACGGCTGAATGCCTCCCTCAAGATCACGGCCCGAGTGCCAGCGGCATGCCTTTGGGCACAGCACCAAACAGGCGCCATCGTCGCCTGCACGCTTCTTGGCTTCTCGATGTGGCAGTGGCTGGTCAGCCAAGCCGGCTGCGCCCGGAGGCTGGTAACATCTACGTGTCGCTGCAAACTTCCGCATCTGAGCTGTTGCCTATCAGTATGGCAAGGTGTGGCTGCGGTGGCGCGCCAATAGGCGTATGCCAGCCATGCACCAGAGGAGAAGTCAGAGCTGCTGGAGCTGCACAGCGGAGCACCATGCCCGGGCCACGCCCAAGTCGGCGTTGCTTAGAACCTAGCAACGTTTCCCTTTTTGTGAATGCAATTCGCAAGGCAACGGTCTGACAGGTAACGGGCGCGCCTTCTCCTTTTACAAACGCAGTGGGGCAAAAGGGAATGCCGCGAACATCCTCGAACATCCGCGAACCCGGGGAAAGTCCATGATGCGGAGAAGATGCTCTTGCGAACCCGAAGAGGCTTAGATGAAGTTAGCAGAAAGCTAGCGGCCATGGCGCGAAGGGACAAAGGGCTTAGAAAAAGTTCGATTGGGGAGCTCCCCTTGTACTTGCCCAGTCAAAGTGTTACTTCCAGCTGTTGTCCTGGATGTTCGATTGAGCGCCGGCACTTGTCCATGCACTTGTATCGCAGCAGGGGCGTCTCATCTACGGAATCTAGGACCACGGAGCTTTTGCTCTTTCGCCCAGGCCGAAGAGATGCTTCAAGATTCAAGCATGTGAATTGTAGGAGGCTGTCAAGGAAGTAATGCAATGAGAGCCCTGGATTTGCAGGAGGTAGGAACCTATCATAGCCTATCGCTTCCCCATTGGCTTTTTCATCGGATTCGTTGTCGGGGCGACGTTTTTGCACTGTTGGGCACGGAACCGGATGGACTCGACTCCTTAAAGCACCAAACGGGACACAGATGGACAGAGGGACGGATGGATATACAGATGGGAGGTGCTTTAAATCAGGGCGTTTCTCCTCGATGTCCGTAAAGCCTCACCCACGCCTCCGGCTCTAGCGAGGCTTTGTCCGTGTAACAGGCCAGAGGGTGTTCAATGGGATCTTTTGTTCAGACCTGGCCATCGCAGTCCCGCCTGTTAACAGCAGTGGCTCAGTAGCGCCTGATAGCGCCCAACTGCATGTCGTGGCCTCTCCTTGCAAGTGATCGCTGCATGCACGTCAATGGGGCTTGACTAGTGTCATTCGATTATGTACAGCGCAGGCATGCTTTGTCAATGTTGATACTGCGTCGCGCTGCCTCTGTAAAGGGTGCGTTGCATCGGCAGTTGAACATGGCAAACATACGCCAGTGGTGATTGCATCATCCTGGCCTTCGTGCTCGTGTGCTTGGGACGCGACATAAGCTCCTCCACCCCAAGCGATCTGGCTACCCTTAACCACCCACGTGCCTTTGAAACTCTTGGACTCCGACACCAAGCCCTGTGCTAAGGCCCTAAGGTCTTCACGCCCTAGAAACGGCTGTAGCGGCCAGAGCCACTATGGCGGCCCACTATGGTGGCTCACTATGGCTTTGGGATTTCCGGGTTTTAGGGGCAGGGCCGGGATGTCGGACGAGCCCATCCTCACCCCTACCAGGGCTGCCAGGAATTGAAGTCCGGAGCACTTGAAAAAATCGCAGGCATGGCAGGTATCCGGACGGAGGCAACATGATTGGGTCGAGCACTACATCGAGCACTACATCGAGGATAACATCGAGGCCTACATCGAGCACTACTTCGCTTCTTTCACAGGCTGACAGCCCGACAGATGCTAAGGGAATCGCTCAGGTCCGTCTGTGGCCTGAGCCCGAGATCAAGGCCGCAGAGCCCACAGGCCACACAGGACAAAGCGCAGCATTCTATGGATTTAGGGTGCAGGGCATCACTTCCGCGTGCATCTGTGGAGTGCGTTTAGCCTGAGGGCACTACTTGGCCCGATGCTTTTGCTGCCGCGCTCCCGTTCGCAAGTGCCCCTGCCGCCAAGCCCTAGCCCTCGTCCCTTGAAAAACAACAGAAACCCGATTGGCCCCATTTTGAAGCTTAATGGAATTGGCTGCAAAGTGAGGAGGGGAATCTTGCCAATGCTACCTGACTGATCTTCACCTGCATGCGAGGAGAAATATCTGTAAAACAAATTCCAACATCTGAAGTTGCAGTTTTGCCTACCTCCTTTATCATCGGAAGCCGAAGCCTGCAATGTCGCACCGGGCGAGGCCACGTAGTTAAAGGAGGCGGATGGTGCTGGTTTCAGCGTGGCCTGGTCAGGGGGACCCAAAAAATCCACAGATCACTTCGAATCTACAGTGCCAAATTTTAGAGATCCATCGAATCCATTGCCCTCTTCCTGGACAGTGTGCAGCCTAAGTCCAGGCCTCAGAGGGACGCCGGCTGGACCCGACTCTGGACCATCTGGACCGAACGGTGGCCCTTCTCAGGGCCTCTCCTCTGGACAGGCGTGCCCTGTCTCAGCGTGCGGAAAGAGCTTCACTGAACTTCACCATGCATGGAGAAGGCTCGTGTGCAAGGAGCGAGAAAAGCCAAAAGTTCAGTGCGCATCGACCGCATAGGGCTGCCAGAAAAGAGATTGACAGCGACGCAGCGACGAGCAGAAGGGGGGAAGAATGCCGGTTTGACTCAGGCTACACTTCCCAGCCTCTTTACTCAAGGCATGTTTTGTTGTTTTACAGAGATCTACACTGGAGGGATTTGCTACTGATGTGGGGGCCTGGAGGGAGGGGTAAACGAGTGCCATGAGCATGGCATGGCGCTTCGTGTCTGATGTGTGCCAGCCACGCTACGCCGCGCTGGGGGGCAAGCGGGGGGCAAGCACTGCCGCGAAGCTCAGGAGATCACGTGGGCTGTAAGCGGAAAGAAGGCCAGCTTAGGACAAAGGGAATCCAAAACCAAGTCTGTCAGACCGAAAGGCGAAAGACGCTGAGGACACAAGAATCTCTGCTGATTACCTTTGGTGCAGAAGCGATCCCCCTGCACTGAGTTTATGGGATGCAATCAATAGCTCTGCAAAATAAAGACTTCACAAGCTGAAGTTGCATGCAACAGTCAACACCGAGAGAGGATGCGAAAAGCGGAGCAAAAATCACGGGAGCTGCTTTGGGCTTCATGATCGAGCTCCTTGAAGGGCATGCCATGCCTGCATGAATGGGGCAATAGCGCCCTTGACTCGGAGTACTGTTTTTCGGCCTCTCTGTGGTAGTTATAGGGCTTGAACGCAGGATCCTCTATCCTGATAACACTTTCCACAGTCTCATAAAGCTCAAGGACTTACTTGCCCAGTGCATTTGGGGGGAAAGCACCTTAGGGCCCACAACAAAGACTCTCTGCCACCCAGGTCGATTTTGACCTTCGAGAGAAAGTCAGCTGATGTCTGGATAAGCAAAGGGCTTGAAAGCGTCCGCAAGCTTAGACATCGGCCGAAGTTTATGACCTTCTGAATAACTCTGGGCACCCACGCCAGCCGTTTCCGGCCCTCCACAATGAGGATGTTCAACCAGTTGATTTAGCATCGATGCTGAATGTTGAGGTGGCTGGCACTAATGGAAGCGCCGGAAGCGCCCCTGCTGCAAACAGCCTGTATATTGATCAGCGACACCACGATGTGAGCATTCATCAGTATGCTGACACACGTGGCCCCACATGAGGGCCCCTCATCTGTTAGAAGAGAGAGAGCACAGGAAGGCTTGAACGGTGTAGTTGTAGCACCGGTGGCTGCTGCGGCTGTACAGCCCCGCTCTGAACAACAGCGGGCACCCATGTGCATGTGCATTGCTGCTGATAAGCCTGCTTGGCTCTGCTGTCGTACTTTCGTAAAGAGGACC